GAGTTTTAGTAAACTTACCATTAAAGTATAGCGTGACACCAAGATAATTAAAACTATCAACAATTTCTATTACATTATTTTCAAAATAGAATTTGTCATTTGAACTAACTCTACCACCATTTCGGAATACAACGATTTTTGTTTTCTCTATGTTGACAGATAATTGCCATTTATCACTATATAGTTTCAAAGTATCTAACATCTTCTGTAACCCAGAAGCTGACTCTGAGAAAAGAACAGTATCATCAGCATACATCAACAAAAACAGAGAAATATCTCTTAGAAAAAGTGCATCACATGATGTATTAATAAATTCATTCTCCAAATCGTTTACATACAAAGAGTAAAGGAAGGGAGATAACCCCTCACCCTGCATCAAGCCTTGCGTGCATGCAAAAAAATCAGATAGTTCAGATTTGTATCTAACACATGACCTTAACCCTTCATAAAGGGACTTCAAAATATTCAAAAATTTACCTCTTATACCACTTTTACATAGCTTCAAAAACAACTTATTTCTATTCACACTATCAAACTGTTAACATGCTAGTCGCCGTACACTTGAAAATGTATCAACAACTATTCGCCGTACACAGACGAAAAAACATTTAAGTCAATTACATCGTAATGACTTCATTTAGACTTATGACCATTATATGTTTATCCCGGTTTCATCTACATGTGCCAGTTACGTCCGTTTCGTCATCGTATATGTCATACTTTAATAGTTATCTCTTCTTCTTTCTTTGTAAATTATTTTGTACCGGTACTTTGTAGTCAATTTTTCACAATATCTTCAGATCGCATGAAATAGTTTACAAATCATCTGCATTACGTACATCATTGTTCATTGTTTAACTGTTTTGCTCCTTTATTTGCCTCTACGCTACCAGAAAATACCAGAAATATCGGAAAACATCCCGTGGCTTGTCTGCGCCTAGCGTCCATGCCCGCTTCGGTACTAGCTATATCCGGTGTCAGTCCTACACAGTGGTGATAGCACGGACTTAGATCATCTAATTCCGTGGTGATAGTAATCGTGTTATTATTTTGCTTTGAGTAGAGCCCAATTATTATAAATAGCTTAGTTGCACTCACCAAACATATGATACTGTTTCTATTTGTAATTGTGTTGTGAGTGTGTGTAATGTTTTGTATTTTGCACTCAATTTTGTTACTTTGTAACTGATGAGTCGATCGACTCAGAGCAATAATTGAAGAACTTGAACTTTAGATAATATTGTTCTAGATTTAGCTTTCGTGTAAAAGGGATTTTTTTTACAGATTTGATATTTGTTCGACTTACTGTTTATTATTTTTATTACTATGTAAGTAAATTGGTTGCAAATAACAAAAGCAATAGCTAGTGGTTAAATCTAATAGCTACTGA